TACCTTTTAGGATCCTTAATATAGAACTTGTGAAGCCAAAAAAAGGAACTACAATGGAGACTATAGGTACTCCCCAACTTCCATCGACTACCATCGACTACATCACCCGAAGACTTCGATTCCCAGTCAGCCCTTTATAGCCCTACCCCAAACCCTATAAACCTTCAACCCAAAACCTGAAACCCGAAACCCCAAACCTGAAACCCTAAACCCCAAACCTGAAACCCTAAACCCTAAACCTGAAACCCTGAACCCCAAACCTGAAACCCTAAACCCTAAACCCGAAACCCCAAACCTGAAATCCTAAACCGTTAAACCCTAAACCCTAAAACCCCAAACCCCAAACCGTTAAACCCTTAAGAGGGAACCTCGCCTCTCCCACAGCCCGGAATCCCTTCGACTCCACCGAAAAATTGAAACCCTGCACTCCGACGCTGTCTCAAGGAGTTTAGGGTTTGGGGTTTGAGGTTTAGGATTTAAGGTTTAGGGTTCAAGGTTTGAGGTTTAGGGTCTATGGTTTAAGGTTTAAGGTTTAGGGTTTAGGGTTTAATGTTTAGGGTTAAGGGTTTAAGGTTTAGGGTTTAATGTTTGGAGTTTAGGGTTTAAGGTTTAGGGTTTAGTAAATCCTGAGACTTCAACCTGCCTTAACCCACCTGTTTGCAGACGCAGAAACTGAAATTTCACGACGGACCCCTCAAAAGCTAGGTGGGTTCAGGGTTTAGGCTTTAGGGTAGGTGTTATGGCCCCAAACTAACTGGACTTTTCTCATAGGGACTACTTTAAGACCAAAGTATATACTAGCTGGGTACATGGACCCTTAGGGTAGGTGTTCTAGGGAGTCGCAAATGTCGGGAAGCTTGCCACGAGACCAGGCCCAAACGTGGTCCCGACGCACCCTGACGGCCTCACTTCCATGCTTGCGCTGGGGGGAGGGGGGGAGGGGTTTAGGGTTTAGAGTTTAGGGGTTAGGGTTTAGGGTTTAGGGTTTGGGGAGGGGGGGACCACATGGCCATGCGGCTTTTCCGGGTTTGGTTTGGAGGTTCGGATTCCGTGAACCGTAGATGCTACACACACCCTGCGCCCTGACCCTTATAGCCTGCATCAAAGCCTAGAACCCTAGACCCTGATCCGGGCTTCTTTCAAACGCAGGGCGTGGTTTAGAGTAGAATTGGGCTAGCTGTTCGTCTCGTAGGGGTTACGATTTAGGGTGGTCTTCTGTGGCTCAAACATTAAGCTGTTAGCATTGTCCTTGTTTTTTTGTGGGTGTGAGGTTTTGTGGGTTCTCGTGTTTTTTCGAGGCTTGGGGTGTTGGGTCTGGGACGCATGAGCCGTGGCTTTGAAGGATGTATTGGCCTTGGGGCTTCCGGATGTGGGTGTTCCATTAGTAGAGTAACTTAGGGTTTAGGGTTTAGGGTTTAGGGTTTAGTGGACTACACTGAACTTTGGTATTCATGCAGTCTGTTACAGCGGTCTTAGTAGTATTAGCTTTGTACTTACCCCTCAGCCCTAAACCCCAAACACCCCCTAAACCCTAAACCCCAGATTCCCGAATAGAACCTGTGAGCCGCATTTCGGCATAATAGCCTTGACAGCCCTGTTCTGACAACTAAGGGAGAACCCAAGGGCCCCTAGCATGGGCCCTTAACCCTGGGATCCTTATACACCTCATACATACCCTACATGTTCCCTTAAGGGCCTAGAAAGGCCTAAGGGTCCATACTAGGGGCCCATATTCCTAACCTTAGATGACTACTAAAGCCCCTATGCTAAAGGGTGTTAGGATTTTAAGCTCGGAGGTTTTGGAGACTTGGGTTTTAGGATTTAGGGCTTTCGGCTTTGAGTAGCTTTGGTTTTAGGGTTTAGGTTTTAGGTTTTAGGGTTAAGGGTCCAGGGTTCAGGTTTCAGGGTTTAGGGTTTAGGGTCTACCTGTAGTCTCCGTTGTAGTTCCAATTTTATGGTTAGGATCCTACAATAGAGATTTGGCTAGCCCCCCAAAAAAGGAACTACAATGGAGACTATAAGAATTGAAACACCATCATCGAGCCCATGGTCTGCCTTGGGCAAGAGATCTGCGGCGCCAGCCTTGCCCGTCAAGACAGAGAAGCCGAAGAGGCGTACAGGGTTTAGGGTTTAGGGCCCGGCAAATGTGGGAAGCCGACCCTAAACCCTAAACCCTAAACCCCTGCACCCTAAACCCCTACACCCTAAACCCTAAACCCCTACACCCTAAACCCTAAACCCTAGACCCCAAACCCTAAACCAGAACAGGATTTCCCACAACTCATCTCCGGTCCCGCGGCTGGGACTCCACCACCTCAGCAAGTGCCGGCCGGATCCGTGGCCAGGGGCAGAGCTCCGAAGGCAAGCTGGCCAGCGCCGCCGCCGGCAACACTCGGTTGGTTGCTTTAATCCTAAGGGTCCAAGTACCTAATAATCATATACTCTCCCAAATAGTAACCTACATAACTACTATCCGAAGCCTAAGTACCTGATTATTGGGTCCTTTGGACCCTTGGGGTAAGTTCCATGGTTGTTGCTCGTTGTTTGACGCTGTTTTCTGTTAAGAGAATCTCCAAATACTCTTGCTGTGCTCGCCTTTTAGCCACTAGCTTGATTTGACACGACAAGATTTCAACTTCTGGCCACAGACGTTCGCGACTCGGCATATCTCGTGGCTACCAGGGAGTTATGGTGTCTTTATTCGGACTCCTAGCTTCAATGTTGGCATCCAGTCCACGGCGGGGATGAGGAGGGTATCAATTTGCTTCGAAAGCGAACACGCGAGATGAAATGGAGCTATGTGTTGGAAGACTTAGATCTGGCTATGACCCCGTCCAATGCGGCGGCTCGGTTAGCACAATAGATTCGCCCCAAATCCCCATCCTCCCGACCTCATAAATGGGCTCAGTGTGTAGTGCATTCGTATCAGACAGTCAGGCACCCGAACACAGACTTAGCACAGAAATCATGAAGGCATATCAGTAAGCCCCCACTAAGTAAAGAATCGCAATACTTGTAAACCCTAAACATTAGATAAGATCCCATGAAGCCTGCAAGAGCCCTCGTACAAACCTATGACCCCATGGCCCGTGACCCTCTAAGCCCTAAAGATCCTACACCCTAAACCCTGAGCCCTGAACCCTGAACCCTAACCTCAACACCGAAACCCTTAAACCCTCAACCAAAACCTAAACACCGAAACCCTTAAACCCCAAGCCCCAACACCCAAACCCTCAACACCCTAAACCCCAACGTATGCACCGAAACCCTTAACCCCTAAACCTTAACCTTAGCACCGAAACCCTTAAAACCCTAAACCCAAACACCGAAACCCTTCAAACCCTAAACCCGAACCTTAACACCGAAGCCCCTGAAACCCTAAACCCTAAGCTTAACACCGAAACCCTTAAAACCCTAAACCCTATAACCTTAACACCGAAGCCCTTAAAACCCTAAACTCTAAGCTTAACACCGAAAGCTTTAAACCCCTCAACCCTAACCTTAACACCGAAGCCCTTAAAACCCAACACCCCAACCTCAACGCCGAAACCCTTGAAACCCTAAAGCCTATAACCTAAACACCGAAGCCCTTAAAACCCTAAACCCTAACCTTAACACCGAAGCCCTTAAAACCCAAAAACCCCAACCTCAACGCCGAAATCCTTGAAACCCTAAACCCTATACCCTTGACACCGAAGCCCTGAAAACCCTAAACCCCAACCTCAACGCCGAAACCCTTGAAACCCTAAACCCTATACCCTTGACACCGAAGCCCTGAAAACCCTAAACCCCAACCTCAACGCCGAAACCCTTGAAACCCTAAACCCGATAACCTTAACACCGAAGCCCTGAAAACCCTAAACCCCCACCATCTCAACGACTTCCGCCAGCCACACATCTGGCTCGTCGGCTGCCAGTCGGATAAAGCGACCTCTGAGGCGGAAGTGAGGCCTGACGTTCAAAAGTGCTTACTATAGGGGCCTTAATAGAATAGGGCTTTATAGGGTTCCTTGAAAGGGCTTCTTAAAGGGTTCTATAAGGGTTTAGGGTGTAGGGGCCTTAATACTTAGAATAGGGTTTTGGGCCTTATTCTAGTATAATTATATTGAGGAACCCCCAAAATCCTATTCTAATCATTAAGGCCCCCAAAATATTAGGGTTTGGGGCCTTAGGGGTTGATGGCTTAGGTCACGAAGAGGAACCTAGAAGGGTTCTATAACCCTCGGGGTCCATGTGCCTGAATAGTACATACTTTGGCCTTGGAGTTAGGTACTTTGGGGCCAAAGTATGTACTATTTGGGTACATGGACCCACAGGGTAAGGGTTTAGGGTTTAGGGGTAGTGTAGAAGCTTGCTGCCTGAGTAACTATATGTGGGAATACTGTTCTTTCGGGCTTCTTATGATAGGGAAAAATATGACGCGAATCTCTCTTCTATTAGCCGTTAGAGTCTTGTTTTTCAGAGTTTTATAGGGCCCTTTATAAAACTTGTTGAGGATTTCACAAGAGTCCAAAAGGAGTTTAGAAGGTTTTCAAGAGGCCAATCCTTACTACATAAGTACATAAGGGGTCTTATAGCAGTAGGTAAATGAAACCTCGAGATTGTTTTTTTGGTTTTCGGGCGTGGCGCTTTAAAGCTTTATAAGGTTTGATGCGCGTTTAAAACCAAGGACTTTCTAGAACCAGGACTTTGAGATTCTGCGTGAAGCTTTGAGTTCTTGCGTTTGGGTGCACGGTCCGGCTTCGGGGCTACTGTTGTTGGTTAAAGGTTTCAACGTTAGGGTCTTCTCTGCGGCATGAGTAGGCTAAAATGATCCGACCCCGGAGTGGAATTTTGCATTGGCTTGCCTTGTCTTCACCTTTTTATGGCCAGTTTAGGGTCGATTTTAGGTTCGCCTCTACATACTGGCTATCCAACTTACGTGCTACACGTTTGTTTACGTGTGCTTCTATAGCTAAGGGTCGCAGGTTTCGGGTTGGAGGTCCCGTAGGGTCCATGTACCCAAGTAGTAGATACTTTGGCGCTAAAGTGCCCAAAGAGGGACTACTTCAAGGCCAAAGCATCTGCTGTTTGGGTACACAGAGCCTTAGGGGGTGTTAAGGTTTTGGGGTTCAAGGATAGGTTCCCCAGTAGTATCCCTTTGCACTTGTTCTCTTTGGGCTCCCTTATTAAAGCCAAATAGTAGGAGGGCACCCTTATCATTAAGAGGCTACTCAGGAACCTAGTAGGGTGTTGGTCAGTACGAGAAAATCGTCTCCGAGTTCATTGCAGCACTCCATGGGATTCATAACATCCGAAGACCCTATACCCTAAACCTTCCACCCTAAAGCCTAGAACCCCAAAGCCCTAAGCATCGAAATGGCAATTTTTGATTGGGCAAAAACATGGCCTGAACTTGAAGTTGCTGAAATGAAACATGCCCAGATCCTTAAACCCTCAACCTCAAAACATATTTGTAGTTCTCTACATTAGGGTCCCCTTTTCGGTCCCCAAGATATTATGGCACCCTTAGAGAAAGGACCCCCAAAAGGGGCCGTAATTTAGAAAACTACCCATATGCCTGTTTAGGGGAATTTCTGTTGCAACACGACGCTGTCGATTAGTTAGTGACTGAAAAACAGGCCCGTGGGCAGCACAAGGTTTCGCACTGTTGTGACGCACAGGGTTTAGAGAGCTGTGGCATAGAAGGTTGATGGTTTCGAGGTTTCACGCCAACACGAACATTCAGATCTCGGTTTGGGGTTTAGGTTTCATTCTGGTAGGTACTGCTGATGGACAAAATCCTGCATGTTGATGGACAAAATCCTGCATGACCCAAGTATAGTATAGTACCATAAATCCCATAGTTTGGGTATATAAGTTCATGCAGGATATTGTCCATCAACCCTAAACCCTAAACCCTAAACCCTGAACCCTAAACCGGTATCCTTGCGGTTCTCCGTTACGAAGCACAGCTTGGGAGTTGAGCCAGGAAGAATGATCGTCACGCTCAAGTCCTGCCCTCAGACTTATTCTTAGCAGCCCAGTAGGTAAACTTTAAACTTTTTGGTATATTAAACCCCCTACTAAAAGAAAAGTTTAAACTTTCTTGGGCCAGGGTACTGGGCTTCAAGGTATTTTGGCCATGGACACCGTTGGCATAATTGGTGCAGGCACCAACATCTTGTTTTGGCGGAAAAATAAGAACAGACTGGAACAGCAAGTTCAGATCCCTAAACCCAAACCCAAAACCCCAATCCTTTGCAGATGCTGAGAATTTATTTTGCTGAGTTTTAAATCTGATCTGCTCAGACTTTCCAAAATCCTTCAATTACGGAATATACCTCAGATTATAGTAGGATCCCCTATATGATTTAAGGTAGATTCCTCATTGAATGGATATTGGAAGATCTGGGGTTTGCTGGGTCAAACCTGATCTTGTTGCTGCCCTCCAACCACCGACAGGAGGCGGCTTGTGTACGTTTGCTGCCTTTTGCTATGTGGGTAATTCTCTGACTCTCTAAGTCTAGGATCCAAATTGATTGCCCCTTTTAGCGTCCTTTTTGTAAGGGTGTCGGACTATGTTGGCGACATAAGAACGGGCCGTGCATGTGGAAGGGAAATTCAAGTTGTTCCTGCTCGCAATGTGAAGCATTTTCTGGTGCATTCGCTATTAGAGCCCGTACGGAGATTACAATCTACTGTGGCCCTACCGTACCGTCCGCACTTCTCAACTTTACAAGGCCTATGCGGAGCAGCACGAGCTCATCTACAAAACCACGACGCAGCCTCGGAAATCCAATGTGATCTCTTGCTTTTATGTTGCTTGAATGTTTGGGATTGCCTAAGCAAGTCACGACTTAGGGGTTTAGGGGTTCAGGGAACATGTCTGCATATAAAGGGATGGTTGTTTGGGGTCGCAGGTGTAGGAGGGTCTGGGCTGTCTGAGCTTCACATAGGGGCAGGGACCCGGAGCCTCCCAAAGCCCTTGTTCCCGTAACTTACACAACCCTACTAGGGCACCAGCTGCTTCAATGAAGACGCATGTAAGCCAATAACCTCTTGTCAAGGTAATATGGGAGCCTTAATAATTAGAATTAGAATAGGGTTTGGGGTTCTACTATACTATAACAAAACTCAGGAGGACCCCAAACCCTACTAAAACTACCTAGACTACAATGGAGACACGGGTTGGTTTACAAGAAGAGTAATCAGGAGGCCCCAAAACCTTCTTCCAATTATTAAGGCCCCTATACTATAACTATAATCAGGAGGCCCCAAAACCCTTGGCAAATCATGAAGGCCTCTATAGTAATTGAAACCCAAGGGGAGGTCATCGACATGATGTCTGATTTTACAACGCTCCGAAACTCGACGGATGTGGGGCGGGGATATTGGAGTCCCCAAATATAACTGAATCGGCTTAGGGTTTAGGGGTTATGGTTCAGGGTTTAGGGT